AAACCACAGCAAAGGGCAATGTTATCTTAGTTCTAGGGCATGGCTGTATTACTTTTGTATTCTGCAAGACACCATTTAATATTAAGTAAATATTAGAGTGGTGGTTTCAACAGAGTACAGCACAACATCTTAGAATGTCAGCAACAGTTAGTAATAATGGTTTGCCCAAAAATGGAACACTGGGCACAGGTTATGCAGATACAAAACCAAACAGATCCACACTTAAGAGGATTTTAAAATTATCAAATGAGTCAAGCAGCGTTATTTAAAAGAGTTTAATTTAAAAACCTTACAGTACATTTCAAGTATACCTGAAATTAAAGGCACACAGTAGCAGAAACAAGGCAATTGTCTAAATCCATTTTTGGTTTTGTTACACTCTGTACTTTGACATTGTGCGAACAGTGCAAAAGCAGACCAAAAGCTTGTTTTGCTCAGAAGATGTGCATAATATGCAGTGTGTCAGTCCCAGCCCTATAATTCAGCAAGTATGCTTCCAAAGGGATTCCAATATTCCTTTTACGTGTAAATGTTAACTGTTTGTGACAAAGATATATGAAGACAATGGCAACTGTGATTACTTCTCAGAAACAGTGCATAGATTGACAGCATATGTTAGGCTATTTTAATATTATCAAAACAACTTTTTACAGATTTCATGTGCTATAAAAAGTCAAAGTGCACACAATCTATCAGTTACCAAAAACACATTCTAGTAACACTGGATGGAAAAAAGCCTGACTCTACAAAGATGATTTGAATGACAAACATCTTATTTTAATAGTTCACGCACTGCATTAAGACCTCAATATTAACTCTGTTGTGTAGGTGGCAACTCAAGAATGTAACTGCAATTAGCACACCAGCTTTAAAATCATTTACACAAAATAGCCACTTTACAAAACAAAAATCTTAGTGGAGTGCCCATATCTGAACTAAGTTTATCATGGGAATAAAACATACAATACTCCAGCAACGTTAGCCGCTAAGCCTTTTGTAGATACACTGTACCAACAGCACACAATAGCCTCACATGCCTGGGATTACCTATCTGACTGAACTTAATGTTCACAGAAAGCGTGAACGTCAGCAATAAAGTTGCTATAACCGAGCACGGACACTAATCTTCACAGACAAGTTAGCAATCTTTTCAAAGTAAGCTAGGATTAGCTCTTCAGCATATTATTGCCTTTTTCAAAAAGAAAGGCTGACCTAAATTGTCACCAGCTGGGCCCTTACCAAACTCCCTCTTTATGGAGGTTCTAATTATTTGGAATGGAATATTCTCCCAATAATCACTTTTCACAGAGGAAGCACTCTGCCATCTTGATTCTGCAATCAAATGCATCATTTCCTCTCATTTTCCATTTACAGATTTTCTTTCTAATTCAGGTACAATATCCTCCAAGACCTGCTTATTATCACATCCCTGTGATACTCACATTTACAAATTAGTCCGAAGTCACATTTTTGTAAATTGAATTGTTTTGCATTCAAAACCGGCAGCTCCTAATTAACATATGAAAATGTCCCATTCTCTACTGAAGCAAAGACTTTCCAATCTGATTGTTGCCTGCATATTTGACACAGTACCATCACGAGAAGTAACCTGCCTCCTTACATACAGTCCTGCACTTCCCACTTTATTTTCTTCACAGGTTTCCTTTGGGGAAGCCAATTTTAAGATCAAATTAAAATGGCCTGCATTTAAATTCATTTTGATTTTTTTTTAACCTCCTTATTGCTTTGCACTTTACATTAAACTTCACAATAGATCCATTTATCTTCCTTGATGTTTTTTTATAAGCATTTTATGCAATAAAAGCTCATCACTTTGAAAAATAATAAAAAGATGCTATATACAAGTACAGTTATTCTAGGAGTTAAAAATTCAAGTAACGTTTACCATGTGGCTTATGGGATGAAAAAAATGGCACTGTGTTATGGTCTCCATTTCTCATCAAACAAAAACTACTGAAGGGAAGCCAACACTGAAAAATAATAAAAAGATGCTATATACAAGTACAGTTATTCTAGGAGTTAAAAATTCAAGTAACGTTTACCATGTGACTTATGGGATGAAAAAAATGGCACTGTGTTATGGTCTCCATTTCTCATCAAACAAAAACTACTGAAGGGAAGCCAACATGGCATGTTGTCACAGCCCTTCAACTCGTGACCATGTCAAGTAGTACACTGAAGTATGTGTGCGCACCCCACCCTCCAGCCACAATCTGGTAGCAATATTTGGTAGTAGCCACAAAGACCAAGGAAAAAGTTAATACTATGTGCTGGAGTTCAACATTTATACATAGTTTTTGAACGTATCAAGTCCTAACTCAAAGGTATACTTCGGAGTGTTAATTTATATTTGCTTCCACGTGTTAATTTCCAAAGTGTTATGGAACTATGCACACAGCTTCCTATGCCTTTTGCTTTTCCTGGCACATCGGTCACCATTATCCATACAGTACACACATTGCCTACAGTGCACATGTTGACATCTCCTGCTCCGCACGGTAATTTCTTGTCTCTGGGAAATCCTGGTGTAGGACAGGAGTGGTCCAAAAGATGGTTTGATTTGTCCTGGACTGCAACATCAGCTTGATCCCCCTTTCATATTTTGTGCTTCTTCTTGAGCATGTCCTAGGCACATGCTGATCTCATGCAGCTGCACTCTGTCTTGACAAGTTTTTTGGCTCTTTACTTGGAACACACCAGTCATCTGCTTCTATAGCAATTTGATAATGTTTACAAGCAGATTTGTTGAAGACAGGAAGTTTCTCTACAGACTCTGTGGAAAGGGCCTAGAAAGGAACAGGAAATTAATTCAGTTAGATATTGTCT